GAGAAATTATCAAATAGCTACCATGTTCCTACTTGCCCTGGTAGGAATTTGCCTAATTAAAAAGCCAAAGTTTTTTGTTCCCACCAAACAAGAAAAGCTAAAACGGGCAGGCTGGTACCTGCCCGTTTTAGCTTTTCTTGTTTCTTCAGTTTAGCTCCTTGTTTCTCCTTATAGATTATTTTTAAAGTAAACTTTTTAATGAAGTATGAGGTACATATAGAACATTGCAAATCCATACCTGTACAGCTTGATGAATTTTCACAAAATGAACTCACATGTACAATCAACACCCAGATCAAGAAATAGAACATGGGCCAGCCGAGTGGCGCGATGGTTAAGAACTGGCTTGGGACGCCAGAGAGCCCTGGTTCAGATCCCACATATGAGGGCCAGTGACACTGCCTTCTACAGCTAAGATGCTGAACGACAGCTCAACCTGGAGCTGGGCTGCTGTGAGTTGCCGGAGATGGCGTAGGCTGCAGCCCCTACGCCATGGGTTGCCATGGGTAGTGTGTAGCCAGCAGCCAGCGTGAGCGGCCCTCAAGCCGCCGTGAGCGGCCATCTAGAAGCCGGCGACTGATCTGCCTCGCCCAGGAAGAGCGCAATGATGGTGCCAACTTGGGCTGGTGAAGCAACGTCCTCCACAACTAAACTGAAGAACAAAACGACAGCAACTTGTCTGTTCCCCTTCCCCCAATTCCCCAGCAGTGTTCCCATCCCCCAATTCCCCAATAAAAATCTTAAAAAAAAAAAAAGAAATAGAACATTACCAGCCCTGCAGAAGCCCCATTAAACTTCTTCCAATCTCTACCCTTAAAGTAACCATTAGTGTAATGTCTATCACCACAGATTAGTTTTTACTGCTATTGAATGTTATGTAAACTAAATCATATGCTAGGAATTCCTTTACTTTTTGCTCAACATTTTATTTCTGAGATTCTTCCAGGTTGTTGCATGTTGTAATAGTTTATTCATTATTGTTGATGATGCTATTGTATGACTATGCCACCCATTCTACTCTTGATGGACGTTTGTGTTGTTTGCAACTTTTGGCTACCATGAACAGTGCTGTTATGTCCTCACAGATTTAAAAATTTTTTTCAGTCAGCTCTTACAATGTGCATGTCATAGTACTATGCTGTAATCAAAGTGTGAGAGCAATAATATCATGTCATGTCCTGTCACCTGGCTCTACTACCAATATATTGCCTAAAATCACTCAGTTACTCTTAGGAAAATATTATATATATATATATATATATATATATATATATATGTATATGTATATGTAATTTTTTTTACAACCTGGAATCACACTATATATGGCATTTTTTATTCTGCTGATTTCATATAACTTTATATTTTGAGTATTTTCCCATTTTATGAAAATTCTTAGAAAATGTAATTTTTAATGGAAAGATACCATTCTGTCTTATGGCTATGCCATCATTTATTTAACTAATCCCCTAGTGGTGGACATTTAGATTGCAGTTCTTTATAATACAAATAATGCTATGGATAAACTACCTTGAATATAAATCTTTGTCTCTTTTGCATGTTTGCTTGGAATGGTACTAAGAAATTCTCCATATTGCTAGTGTAGGGTTGTGTGTAGTTTAGGGGAGCAGAGGCACTCTATATCTTTCTTGTGACATAGCTGACTTGATTCCATTAGTAATCTTAGAAATGAGAACATACCGTTTTCCACTTACTGGACTCTATGGATTAAGCTTGTCCCGCTTAGTGTCTGTACCTTTGCCCTTAAGAAATGCACAGGTGTGCATGACCAACTCTTGGCAATCCGTAACAACTTGAGTTTACCTTTTAGTTGAATAGTGGGTTACACTGGGGGGCAGTTAGGAGAACTGCTTCCCCTTGCAAAGATAGGCAGGAGCAAGTGATATGAGTGGGAGAGTGGAGGGAAAGGAAAGCCACAGACGGGCTGCAGTCCTGTGATTTGTCTCCTGTTTTGGATCCGGTCTTCAATCTGTTTGGCACAGGGTTCCAGGTATCCCTGCAGTAGCTGCTATTCTCAGCACCTCTTCATCTGTGCTGCACAACCCGTGCCCTCCAGCTTCCTTAGGAACCTAACTTCATTCATTCATTTATTCAACAAACATTTACTGTGCACTTACTATGTGCCACATCTTTAGGCCCTGGAGATATGCACAAGTGAATAAAACAAAGTCACTCCCTTGTGGATCATACAGTCTAGTTGGGGAAAGGGCAAAGAAATAAACATATAAGCAAATAAATTTACTTGTAACATGTTAAGTCATAAGTGTTATGAAAAAAATAAAGCAGTCTTTATTTTTAAAGGTGGCGAAAGCCACCTTTAACCCACAAACATGTTGAAATCTTTCCTATTGAAATAAAATTCCATTCTTAAGAAACTATGGTACATTTACACAATGGAGTATTACTCAACTATAAAGAAGGAAATTGTACCATTTGCAACGATATGGATGAGCCTAGAGAACAATATGCTAAGTGAGATAAGTCAGTCAGAGAAAGACAAATACCATATGATCTCACTTATACGTGGAATCTAAAAATCTGAATAAATGAGAAATGCAAATAGAAATAGTCTCAGAGACACAGAGGGAAAACTGGGAGTTGCTAGTTGGGAGCGGGTGGGGATGAAGGAGAAGGGGAAGGGATAAGACAATACAAATTGGTAACTACAATATGGCCTCAGGGATAGAAAAGACAGTCTGGGGAATATAATCAATAATGTTGTAAATATTTTTTAGGGTGCCAGATGGACTCATGTCTTGTTAGGGAGACCACTTCATAGACGGTGTAGAGGCCTGACCACTGCACTGTATTTCTGAAGCTGATGTTGAATAATATTGTATGTCAACTATAATTATATATACATATAGGCATGGGATGTGGAGTAGAGTGTGGGAATGGAGTTAATGGAATTGTAATAGATAAGTATGATATCGGGGGAGGGGAGTAGTTTCTTTGTGAGGGGTGAAAAGGATAACTATTGCATTGTTCTATACACCTGAAACTAATAATAATAAAAAAAATTCCATTTTATTTTGTAACCATGGTTCACTATCATTTCCTTTACAGCGAGGCTCCTTAAAGGAGACATGTACTCTTGCTTTTTTTCACTTCTTCATCTCTCAATCATATAACAAGCTGCAGCCTCAAACCCAAGAGAGTCAATTCAGAACCCATTTCACCTCACTCATGCTCCTCCGTTGCCTACCCAGTTGGCAGCCATTTTTGGTCCTTTCTCTTCCTTTCTTCCCCTTTCTCCACATCTAACCAATTATGAAGAATGCCTCAGCTTGCCTCCTAAATCTCTTTCACTACACCCTCATTGTCACTGCCTGTATTAGTTTGCAAGGGCTGCCATAACAAAGTCCCACAAAGTGGGCTAATTAAACAACAGAAATTTATTGTCTCACTACCCTGGGGGTCAGAAGTTCAAAAATCAAGATGTTGACAGGATTGGTTCTTTCTGACAGTTGTGAGGGAAGGAGACGTTCCAGACCTCTCTCCTTGGCTTGTAGGTGGCCATCTTCAGTTTATATGGTGTTCTCCCTGTATCTTCCCTCTGTACACATCTCTGTGTTCAAAATTTCTCCTTTTTATGAGGACACCAGTCATACCGGATTAGGCCCACTCTAAAGATCTCACTTTAACTTGATTACCTCTGTAGACACCCTACCTCCAAATGAGGTCACACTCTGAGGTACCGGAAGTTAGAGCTTCAACATAGGAATTTTGGAGGGACACACTTTAACCCCGAACACTGCCTCTGTTCAAGCCTTTGTTATTTCTCACCTGTGTCATTTCTTTAATCTCCTTAAGTGCATCCCTGCTTCCAGCATTGTCTTGTTTCAACCCAGCCCCCACTCTGCTGCCAGAGGATCAGGGTAAATCCAAGCTCCTTGCCCTGCCTACCAGGCGCTTTGTGTTCTGGCCTCTGCCGTCCTCCCCAGTCTTACTTCTTGCCACTTACATAGAATTGTTGCAGCCATCAAGAGCCTGTGTCATGATTGTTGTGCTTTTGAACTTCATGTGGTTCTTCCTGCATGGGATGGTCTCTCTTCCTACTTTTCCTGATTGAATGAATAATAACTCATGGGGTCTTTTCTTTTTTTTTAAAGATTTTTTTTATTGGAAAATTGGGGGAGGGGAACAGTGTTGGGGAATTGGGGAAGGGGACCGGCCAAGTTGTTGTTCTTCAATCTTCATTGTGGAGGGCGCCAGTCACCATCTGGCTTCCCGTTGGCAGCTTGTGGCCTCTAAGCTCAAGGTGCTGTGTTCAATCTTAGTTGTGGGTGGGCGTAGCCACCATCCCATGAGGGAGTTGAACCAACAGTCTTGTTGTTAAGAGCGCACGCTCTATCCACTGAGCCATCCAGGCAGCAGCTCAGCTCAAGGTGCTGGAGTTCACTCTTAGTTGTATGTGGGCATAGCCCACCATCGAACAGGCAGTCTTGTTGTTACACCAGCGGAGCCATCCTGCCACCTGTTGGTAGCTCAGCGACAGCTCAGCTCGGGGCGCAGTGTCACTGACCCATGTGGGAATCTAACCGGCGGTCCTGTTGCTCAGAGCTCGTGCTCTTAAGCCAACTCTTAACCAACTGAGCCACTCGGCCGGCCCCTCATGGGGTCTTTAGGCCAACCCCAGCATCATCTCTTAACAACCTTCCCTAACACCCCCAGTCTCGGTTTTGTGTCTTTCCTCCATAACCTATGTCCCTTCTGCCATTTTTCTCTACTGTACTTTTATTTACTATCTTATCTCACTTACAAGATCCGGGTCACCAGAACCTCTAGTTTAATGCCTAGTATACCAAAGGTACTCAATAATACACATTTGCTGAACACATGAGTGAGTGAACAAACGAATCTTCATTTAGAAAATTGCAGTGTCACCCTGAGTAAGCTAGCTGGTAACAACAAATGCTATACGAGGGAGGGGCAAAATCAAGGGTGTGGTAATCAGAAGTGGTTTATAATTCTCATGCTTGAAGAGAAAGCATTTCAGCTGCTGTTGCTTCTCTGAGGAAAGTTCTGCTATCAGCTACTCCACTAACTCTGTCCAGTAACATGACCAGCAAGAAAGTAATTGCAGTGTTTGGAGCGACAGGTAAAAAACTCCTTACTTTTAAAGTGCATGCTGACTTTGCTTACTTTCCCGTCTTCATGTTTTTAACTTCAGAGCCTGCAAGGTTGGGCTGAACAAAGAGCTCTTTGGAGGAAATTAAGAAAAGCATCCTGTTGTTTGAGTTTCTGATGTGGTAAAGGGGTGGAGTGATTTGATTTGATTTATCAGAAATGATCTCAGCAGGACAAAGACAACTGGCATATTCTCTTTCTCATGTGCTGACTTTTTCAACATAAATTTCTTTTCAACATAAGCTATACTCTGGAGACTTTTCTCCACTCGCTTCCTGACAGGTAAAAGGAGCAAGTGTGAGAGGCTTGTGGGTGTGTAGGGGATATCCACGTGCCAGACTAATACTTCAGAATCTGAAAGGATGGAGTGGGTGGGTGTTAGGAGAATGTGCTAAGTGACTTCTCTCACCTGGACAGCTGGCCAAGCCTTTTAACTGCCATTCCTGTGTCACTCTTGCCTCTTGTACGATCTGTTCTCCAGCCGGAGCCATCTTTGCAAAACGTTGATCAAATCAGGCCACTCTCTTTCAGTCTGTTCTCATTTCAGCCTCCTGGTGGTCCATTTGAAACAGTCAGCTCATGGCATGCCTCTGCTCAAAACCCTCCTACACCAAACCCCAATCTCATGCCAAGCAAAAAGCGAAGTCCAGCTAATGGACTACCATCTTCTACCACTCCCCTGTACTTACTCTGCGTGTTCCCCAAATATGCTCCCACTTTAAGTCCTTTGCACTGACTGCCCTCTCAATCTAGAATAAACTCCCTCTGGTTACCCACACTTCTTTCTCTCTCATGTCATCCATGCCTGTGATCAGACATCTCCTTTTCCATAAGTACTTTTCAGACCTCCATATTTAAAATTGCACCTCCACTCCACCCTGCTACTCTCTAGCTGCCCGCCCTGCTTGATTTCTTCTCTACTACCTGTCTCTCCATACTTGAATATAAGATCTATGAGCATAGGAATTTTGTCTGAAGGGAAGAAAGGGCTAGAGTAGGGAGAAGAGAGAAAAAAATTCACAAAAGCCAATAGCCAGGTATGATGTCGCCTTTAAAAGCAAAATATGTAAATGGGACATGAGGAAGATTGTATAAGGCATTAGAGTGATGGTGAGAATATTGGCTTTTCCTGAAAGAGATGAGAAACCATTAAAGGATTTTGAGCAGTGGAGTGATATGACATGACTTCGGTGTCAAAAGGATCATTTTAGTTTGTTTTGTGAAGAGACTGCAGGGGTCAAAGGCTGAATAGGAGGCTGCTGCCATAATCCAGGTAAAATGACTGTGGCTTAGATCAGGGGGTGGCAACGAGGTGGTGGAGAGTGGTCAGATTTGGGATGTGTTTTTAAGGGAGTTGATAGGGTTCACTGATGGACCAGATATCAGAGGTGAGAAGAGAGAAATAAACAATGACTTCAGCATATTCTGGCTTGAGCAGCTGAAAGAATACAGTTTGTATTCACTGAAATGGGGGAAGACCATGGTGGGAGCAGGTCAAGGGAGGCCAAGATCTCTGTTTTCGTCAAGTTAAACTTGAGCTGCCTCCTAGTCATCCAGAATAGGCATTTGGACAACAGCTTTGGGAGTGGCTCCTAAAGGAATCAGATTAGATGTGTCAGAGTGGAAGAAAGTTGATTCCTACTTAGTGAAAGCTGATTACCTCATTGCTCAGGTCTTGTCCCTGGTTTTGTTACCTTGGAGTGATGGGTGTGTTTACAGGGTGGTTGAGGTAGGGTTGACAGATTTAGCAGAGAAAAATATAATAGTTAAATTTGACAGAGACACATGTTAATCCTTACCAGTGTATGTGTTTGCACATTAGACTCTGAACAATATCTTCAGTGCCTGACATCAAATGCTATTGTGGATGAAAAAAAGAGTTGTATGGAAAGCAACCTCACAGGGTGACCTGATCATAAATTCCTAACTGGGCAGGTCATGGGGAGTAGTCATGCTCCAGGCATATAACTCCTTTAGTAAAAGGTTTATCTTTGCTTTAAGTAAGCCCTGTCCATTGTTGCTGTGCACCTAGGTTAACACACCTTTGAAATAAGCCATAACACCATCCAGAGAGCACATAATCTTGTTAACTATCCTCTAATCCAATCGCCACCATGCTTTTTCTTATTCAAATAATTCCCTTTGCTTTTTTCTTGGTTTGGTTTCTGTTTCCTGGATTACTCTTTCTTGCTTTACTTTGTGATTTTGCTGTAGCACATCCTCTGGTAGTTTACAGAGAGAGAGTGCACAGGAGTTAAATTTTTGAGACTTTGAGTGTCTGAAAATGTCTTTATCTAGAATGTTTAGAATGAACTGATCATTTGGCTAGGTTTAGAATTCTAGATAGAAATTAATTTCCCCCCTAAACGGCATTACGCCATTGCTTCCAATGTTATTCAGAAATCTGGTGCTATTTTTAATTCCCCACCTTTGAAATGACCACCCCCGCTCACCAAAGTTTTTAAGATTGTTTTTATCTCCAGTGTTTTGAAATTTCACAATTATGCAAGTAATGTGGGACTTTATTTATTCATTGTGCTGGGCACTCTGTGGTAGTGGTCTCTTAATCTGGAAACTCATTCCTTATCTTTGAACTCTGGGAAATTACCTTCTTTGATAATTCTGTACCTCCATTTTCTCTATTTTTTCATTCTGGAATTCCCCTGGCTTGATCCTCTATTTTCTCTCTTCTATTTTCCATTTCTTTGTTTTTTCCTTCTAATTCTGGGAGATTTCTCCAATGTTTCCTATTGAAAATTTATTTCTGCTATGCTATTTTAAATTTCTGAGGGCTTCATCTTCTCTTCTAAATGCTCTCTCTCTCTCTCTCCTGCCTCCCCCTCCCCTTTTGATACAGTATGCAGATGTGTTCTGAATGCAAAATCTCCTCCAATCTCTGAAGATGTTAATTCTTTTAATTTTTCTTCTGTTCACTGCACTGTTTCTGTTTCCTTTTATTAGTTTGTTTATTTTGGTTTTGCCTTTCATTTTGGAGGCTTTCTTCAAACATCTGGTGACCTTTGGCTGTCTGTTCATAATCACTACTACAGCACTAAACTTCGGCAAAAGCTCCTGGTGCAAAGGCAGGGCTCACTGAATGGCAGACCCTATAGGGTTTTCAGTGGCGTATCATGTGGGGTTCCACAAGAAACAACTACCACACTTTTTCAGAGAAGCCAAGGAAAACTTAATAAAGGCGGAAAGGGAAAAGACCAATAAAGAATAAATAAGCAACAGGAGGAAGGAGCAGAGGGCAAGAGAGATGACCAAAACCTTGGGGAGAGTAGCACCATAGAGAGGGTCACCTCTCCTCCTGCTCTTGGGTCTCCTGCTGATGTCTCTCATTGAGCAAACCCAATCTGAGTGCAAGAGAGCCCACTGATGGAGTCCATGCAGATCAGCCTCCCAGGGCACTGAGCGGGATGGGGAAGGTGAAGGTAGATCTGAAGGCACTAAAAACATATTCAGGACAGGTATGCAACCAATTTGATGGAGAATCACAAATGTCAGTAACCCAGCACGGTACCTGGCATATATCACAGGGCATTCAGTAAATATTTGTGGAGTAGATAAATTAGGGAAGTAATGATCGTATTATGAATGGCTTTGAATGCCACAAAAAGAAACTTATGTATGTTTTCAACGTTTTAAAAAATATAAAATAGGGGGCCGGCCGAGTGGCGCGATGGTTAAGAACTGGCTTGGGACGCCAGAGGGCCCCGGTTCGGATCCCATATATGAGGGCCAGTGACACTGCCCTCCACAGCTAAGATGCTGAACAACAGCTCAACCTGGAGCTGGGTTGCCGTGAGTCGCCGGCGACGGCGTAGGCTGCAGCCCCTGTGGCAGTGGGTTGCCATGGGCTACCATATGTAGCCAGCAGCCAGCGTGAGCGGCCAGCAGCTGCAGTGAGCGGCCGTCCAGAAGCCGGCGACTGATCTGCTTTGCCCGGGAAGAGCGCAATGATGGTGCCAACTTGGGCCAGTGAGTCAACATCCTCCACAACTAGACTGAAGAACAAAACAACAGCAACTTGTCTGTTCCCCTTCCCCCAATTCCCCAGCATTGTTCCCTTCCCCCCAATACCCCAATAAAAAAAATCTTAAAAAAATAAAATAAAATAAAAAATATAAAATAAGAACCTCTTTTGAAAATAAAATTGTATGAAGAACCTAAAGATAAAATCTATAACCAGATAAAAGTAGAATTGCCCAGTTGAATCTGGGGCGCAGGGTCTGGCACCCTGCTCATTTGGCCTCCTCTTTGCCTCAAGGCTCTCCCATTCTCCTCTCCCCCATGGATTCAGCAGAGGTGCCTCTGACAAGGCTGCAAGAAACCTAGTTTAAAAACCACTGTTGCAGGCAATGGGGATGCCTCCCGAAGTAGTCATTACAACAGCTGTACTCTGAGTAATGGGATTTCCTGACCAACGTTTTTTAGTGAGCATTCTTACTGATCCTTCCTCTATTTCTTTTCTCCCAATCTTGCAGGAGCTCAGGGTGGCTCTGTGGCCAGGGCCATTTTGGAAAGCAAAAAGTTCGCTGTGAGAGCACTGACCAGAGATGTGACTCGACCAAATGCGCTGGTGCTCCGGGACCTTGGTGCTGAGGTGGTAAAAGGGGACCTGAATGATGAGGCATCGGTGGAGGCTGCCTTGAAAGGTGCTTATGGGGCCTTCGTGGTGACCAGCTTCTGGGACCATCATAGCAAAGAGAAAGAAGTGTGTCAGGTGAGAACACCTTTGAGTCCTTCCTCTTACCCTCCCTGGGGGTTCTGCCCTCCTGGGAAGACAGTAGACCTTCAGTCTGGACAAAAATATAAGCCTCAGTTCACAACATCTCTCTGGTATTTATGGAAAATATGTACTTGTTAGGGGTGTCTTTGATGGTGAAATCAATGTTATGTAGCACATATCCACATCTCAAGACCTTGGGTATTTGAGAGTGACCATGCAATAGAGCCAGTCATTAGCTTCTCACCATTTGTCTGTAGATGGCATATGAGGATGGGCAGTAAAGATATCCCACAAATTAAGATTACTCTGGGAGTGAAATGGAGCAACAAAAATGTAATGAATATATTTATACTTCTGGCAGAGAATGTGAGGATGAATTAGTAATGGATACATAGAAAAAGAACTAAGCAAACAAGCAAAAAAACCTGCAATAATTAACTCCCGGGAAAATGAAAGTTTGGAAAAAAAATTATATATATATATAAAAATATATACATATATAAATATATATATATCCATAGAATATTACATGGTTCAGCTTAAGCTGTGCAGCACTGATTATTGATTTAGCTGAAAATTATGATATTGGAACATTAAAGAAAGAGAATTGCGTATGTGTGTGATGGTGGTGATGGACTGTGTGTGTGTGTGCTTCATAATAGGAATTTAGTAGATGATATCTTAAACTGAAAAACATTAAGAATTAGTAGTACAAAGTTGTTATTTAGAAATAAAAAAACAGTTAAAAGAGATGAAAGTGGTTACTTCTGAGAGCAGTTATTAGCTTGGGACTCATGGAACTTCTTTGTCATTATGAGATCTATTTTTTCCCATGACAGTACTATTTGAATTCATATATATATATATATATATATATAAATTAGAAAAAATAATAAGGATTAGATTTTTAAAATGTAATGGATGGGACCTGCCTTTTGCAGAAATGGCACAATTCAAAAAATTAAGAGCAGGATTGAACTGTTTCAGGAATGTCTGTTAAATTAATTATACCACTTACAGCTTATCTTTTAGTGATAAGCTTTGGGAGGGCTTATTTTAGGAACTCTGGGTTCTAATTCTGATATTCACTCACTATGAAACCATGGGGGTACAAAGTCACTTCTCCGCTTCCCTTTCTGCATCTGCTAAACCAGATTAATGTCTTCCCTGCTTGCTATATGGGATTTTGTAAGGGAAAAGAAAGAAGGAAACAGTGAAAAGAAAGAAGAAAGAAAGAAAAGAGAGAGAGAGATGAAGGTGCTTTGGAAATTTTGGAACTAAACCACAAAAAAGAATATTTGTATAGATGTGTATTTGTGTGCATATGCATATATATCCATTACGCCCTCAATATCAAAAGGTGTATAGATATAATTCATTACCAGAAAACATTATTATACTGTGTATTGTTTTCTCAGATATCCCAGAACCTCATATACAAATAAATGTGGCAGTTGATCACAAGGATACTGACAGCCAAGAGGAAGGGACCCAGTTCCTGACTGTTCCCACCAGGTTGCCTCTCAGCTTCTGATGGGATGCAGCATCTTGGCATGGCGGAGCCTCTGTTCTCTAATACTGTTGGGCTGTCACATGATAACTTGAATATATTTTGATGCTAGAAGAGCTCCCTCTCTAAGGAGGACAATAAGAAAAGGAGGGGGTGGAGGGGACCCAGCACCTGCTCTCTAGTCCATACACAAATACAGCAATCTCTATAAGGAAATCTCTATAAGGAATTTGTGTTTGTCCCTTAGGGAAAGCTGGTGGCGGATGTCGCCAAGCGCCTGGGTCTGAAGCACGTGGTGTACAGTGGCCTGGAGAATGTCAAGCGTCTCACCGGCGGGAAGTTGGAGGTGGAGCACTTTGATGGGAAGGGAGAGGTGGAGGAGTACTTCTGGTCCATTGGTGTTCCCATGACCAGCGTCCGCCTGGCAGCTTACTTTGAAAACTTTCTCACCATGTGGAAGCCCGTGAAAGCCTCTGATGGAGATTACTACACCTTGGGTAAATAGAAGTTTGCAGTGAAAGTTAACCAGACACCTGCTGTCCTCCCCTCCCCACCCCCCTTTCCCTTCCTCCCTCTCCTCAGTGGACGTATATCATTTGAGTGTCTACTATGTGCTTAGCTCTGTGTGAAGTGCTGAGAGAGTACCAAACTGCCCTAGACCTCACAGAGAACTGGTTCTTGGACAGGAAACACAAAGGATTTCACTTCCAACCTTAACAACCTGGTGTTCCTGATATAAGTAGTTTAGCTATGTGACCCCAAGCCTCAGTGTCCTCATGTCTAGTGGAAACGTTGGGTAAGGTGACTTCTAAGGTCCCTTCTAGCTCATCCAGCTGACCTTCTACGGCAACAGGGAAGACAGTCTCCTTAATAGGTCCCATGATCAGAATCCTTAGCAGCGGTTCTCAACCTGTGGGTCGCGACCCCTTTGGGGGTCGAACGACCCTTTCACAGGGGTCGCCTAAGACCATCGGAAAACAAAAAGATATTTACATTACGATCCATACCAGTAGCAAAATTACAGTTATAGAGTAGCAACGAAAATAATTTTATGGTTGGGGGTCACCACAACATGAGGAACTGTATTAAGGGGTCTCGGCATTAGGAAGGTTGAGAATCGCTGCCTTAGAGGAACCCTGACTCCCCAGGGATAGCTTCCCACCCCTGCGAGCAGAGTCCAATTCTGTAGGTCTGTGCTGGAGCCTGGAAACCTGTAGTTTTAATAAGGATTCCTGGTCATCCCAAGGCCGTCAGTCCACTGGCCAGCATGTTCCTGCCCTTTGGAGACATTTTTGTGGCCCATAGTCCAAGGTGGCTCTGTGGAATGGAGGAAATATGGATGGTAGTGATTCAGTATCAATGGCTGCAATTCAGTCCTTTTTTCCTTGGCACATAATTGAGACTCATCAGAGACATACTACTAGCAGTCAAAGGAGATCTGAGGAACACCTGTAGAGCCAGGAACACCTGCCATACATCACAGATGACCTGGTTAACAGCTCAACAAACGTCGAGATAAATGTATAAATGTGCTACATCTCTTATGCCCCTTTCTTTCTATGCCCCTACCAGGTTTCAGAATCCAGCTCACTGGCATTTCCCAGGTCCTGAACTAGGACATTGTAATCTATTGGCTATGTTGGCCTGGGTGAAGAGGTGGTGCCTTAAACTTCTCCTGGTACCCAGTCCCATCTGGGGCCCCAGAGTCTATACAACCCAGTCTCAGGGATACCTGAGACTCAGGTATCATTCTCTACTATAGGAATAGCTAACATTTACTAAGCACTTACTAGGGGCCTGGCACTGTGCTATTTACCTCCATTTTACAGATGAGAAAACTGAAGAACAGATAGATTAAGTAACTTTCCCAACATCTCGAATAAGGCAGAACCAGGATATGGACCCAGGCAGTCTGGCTCCAGAGCCATAGTCTTTTTTTTTTTTTAATTAAAGTTTATTGGGGTGGCAAATGTTAGTAAAGTTACATAGGTTTCAGTTGTTCAGTTCTGTAATACATCATTTGTACAGTGTATATCTCTTTACCACTGTCCCATAGCTGCTTATAATCTCATCCCAAGACCCTCAACCCTCAAATAAAAACGAACCTCAAAGTCAGAACAAACTTGACTCTGAGTGTCTCAAAAAGCTCAAATTACTTTACAAATATAAAATACAATTACAATTTAATCTGACAGTTTGCCTACCAAGAAATTCAGGCTGGAAGCTAATTTTGCTACAAAGAACCAAGTATGATATTTAGTCCCTGGCTGCTAAGCCTGAAGTCACTTTGACATTGGATTGAAATTCAGAGACCTTGATTCTTGGCCTTTTGCTTTCTAGCTGTGAGGCACCAAGTGAGTCAATAGTCTCAGTTTATTCATTTAAAAAATGACAATGCTGGGGCTAGATCATGTCTAGTTTGGGTTCTAACCCCAGGATTTTGGGATTCTGGGAATCTATGAGAGACCTTATCACACTGTAGGAAGGGCACAGGCTTTGGAGTGATGTGTGATAGTTTGAACCCACTTCTGCTGCTTGCTGGCTGAATAATCTTGGGCAAGTACTTGATATTCCTATGTTTCAAGGTTGTTTTGAGGATTAAACCAGCCAATATGTCCATTCATTCATTCATTCATTCAATAACTATTTGAGGGCCTGCTCTGTGCCAGTCACTCACTGGGGAATCAGTAATAAACAGTTCAAAACAGACAAACCTCTGCCCTCGTGAAGCTCCATTCAGGTGGAAGAGATAGATAATAAACATAATAGATAAGTAAAACATAGTGTATGTTAGGAGGTTAAGTGCTATAGGAAAAATAGGGCAGAGGAAGGTATATGTGGAGTGCTAGCAGTGAGGGGGTGGCATGTGAAATTTAAACAAGATGATCACTGGGTCTCTGAGAAGGTGAAACCTGGGCACCTTCTGATGGAGGTATGTAGTGGGCTTTGTGGGTATTCATGGGCAGAGCATTTTAGGTCGAGAGAACAGCAGTGAACAGAACAAGTAGGGGAGGGGAGTAAGAGGCGAGGCCAGAGCTAACAGAGGCCTGGTCCTATAAGCCATTGCCTTGACTTTTGAGGGACAGAGAGGATGGGCAGATGTGTGATGAGCTGATGTTAGTTTTACAGGATCACTTTGACTTTTGTGTTGAAAAGAGACCATGGAAAGGTAAGAGCGTAAACAAGAAGACCAACTTTGCAATAATCCAAGTCAAAGATGATGTTTCAAGGTGGCTTGGACCAGGGTGGTAGCAGTGAAGATGGTGAGAAGCGGTAAGGTTCTGGACATCCTGTGAATAGTATTTCCCCCCAAAACAGGACATGGGATGTGAGAGAAGTGTCAAGACTGACTCCAAGACTTTTGACTTGAGTAACTAGAATGATAGAGTTGCCACTAACAGACAGGCAAGTCTGTAGGGAGGGTGGGGTGTAAGAATGCATTCTGTGGCACATTGAGTTTAAATGTCTGTTAGTCCAGTAAGGATGTTGAGTAGAAAGTTGGACACATGAGTCTGGAATTTAGCAGAGATATCCAGGTTGGAGATACAACTAATCATACTTTGCACACAGCAGATGCTTAGTAAATAGTTGTTCTTTTTTTTTTAATCAATACCCAGGCATTGTGGTATTTTCTCATACAAAACCTTGTAACTTGCATAGATTGTAGCCACTCACTGTTATATGGCTTTCTTAAACTTTTTGTTTAAGTAGTTGATTCATTCAAGTTGGTGGGATCTACCAAGGATGTGATATAACTAGCAATTTTTATCTTTTTTTTTTTACTAGCACTGCCTATGGGGGACATACCAATGGATGGCATCTCTGTTGCTGATATTGGAGCAGTCGTCTCTAGCATTTTTAATTCTCCAGCAGAGTTTTTAGGCAAGGCGGTGGGTCTCAGTGCAGAAGCGCTAACAATACAGCAATATGCGGATGTTTTGTCCAAAAGTTTGGGGAAAGAAGTCCGAGATGCAAAGGTAAGTTTTTAGGAAACATAAATGTGATCACAATAGTCCACCTCTGGTGAGATAAAATTGAAGAGGATTCTAGTTCCACAAATCTATCTTCATCTGTTGGTGTATCTGAATCCCACCCTATGGCTTTATTTCTTTGGCTTAAGGTTAATCAACCAGCTTGTTAAAGTAAAATTACTTTTGGGTGGCAAGAACTTAGAATCTGAAGACCAAGGTGCAACTTTTCATATACACTTTCCCAATTCTCCTCTCATAAGCACTTAATTGCTGATGACTCCATCTGCCAGAGCTCGCGAGAGTAAGGCAAGGCACTTAGACTCGCTGTGCCTCAGCTTCCTCATCTGTAAAGTGGGATGATAGCATCTACCTCAGGGTGTTCTTGTGAAAATTAGAATATGTTTAAGCGACTTAGCACAGTGTTTGGCACGTAGTAAGTATATATCAAATACCTATTAAGTGCCCGGTGCTATCTTTAAGGAATTGACAGAGTTGGGGTGAAAATGTTAATGCACGTGAAATCACAATGATCAATACAAGACAGAACACTATAGGTGCCTAATTGTGTTGTCCACACTACCTGTGCTATAGGTGACCAGAGAGGGGTGGGAGAAGGCTTCATGGAAGAAGGGTATTGAGGTGGTCCTAGAGGGTGGACAAGACTGTGTATAGGTGGAGGGAGCAATGGGCCGACCTAGCTAAGTTATGGAATTCTAAATCCTAGCCTGGCGAACTTAACATGAATGAACCAGAGGCAGCGTGGGGACGTAAGCGAATCCTGGCTCTGCTCTTATCTATCTGTGGAATCTTGGCAAGTTACTTAACCTCTCCAGCCTCAGTTTCTTCATATGCTCAAAAAAGGTAGACCTCTCTCGCAGGATTGTTGTGAGGATGAAGTGAGATACACTTCCAGGTGCCTGGCACTGGGTCTGGCCCTTAGTAAGCCCTGAATAACCGATTGTGGTACTATAAATCAGCTGGGAATGGCCTGGATCAGGGTGTGGCTGGGACAGACCTTTAACAGAAAAGTGAGAGGAACTGACAGTGTTGTGCATGACCAGCCATTGCTCCCAAGTTTGTGTTTGTGTTTGCCTTGCAAAGAGAGACACCATCAGAGCTGAAAGGAGGACCCATACCTTCTATCAAGGTGGCAGGCTTTAACTAATATGGCTCTTGGCTTCTCTTGGCTGCAGTTCTCCTATCTATGAAATGAGAGCATTGTTTGGATGATTTCTAAGGCCCTGCCCAGCACCAACATCTCTCTAGAGTAGGGGGTCCACAAACTAGGACCTGCCACCCACTTTTTAAAACAAATATTTATTGGAACACAGCCACACTATTGTTTATGTATTGTGTATGAGTAGCTGCGACAGAGGCCATATATGACTTGCAAAGCCTAAAATATTTATATTTAGTCCTTTAAGAAAAAGTTTGTCGACCTCCACTCTAGAATGTTTCCTAGAGTTAGCAGTAGAAAGCTCATTTTTGTTTTCATCTGCAACTCTTGGTCTGGTGAATTTTAAGGGGGTATCTGGATTCCCAGTTCAGAGGAGGCTAAGAGATCTTTTATTTGAAAACTATTGTCGTATTACCCTCAAACCCAAGAAGGCAGCCAACCACTCAAAAGATGGACTCATGAGATGATCTGCAAAGTCCCTGTACCTGGGTGCAAACACACTTGTCAGGGACTGATCCCTCTCCCTGGGCATTTGTATTTGGTTGGGTCTGTTATTCATTTTGTCTCATGGGGTTTGGTGTCTGTAAAGATGAAGGAGAGAAAGGTGAAAGAGTGTGGACATATGGTGTGTGTGTTCGTTCTCAGAGGACTGGGTAGACATTGTTTTCGATGGCTAAGGAGCTTCTAAGCACCTCTCAGTCACATACCTGGCCTCTGACAATTCTTGGCACATCAAGTTGTTTCACAATGCAGCAGAAACTTCTCTGGCATCAAAAGTTTTAGGGCATTAGGGGCTGAAAATTTTACAGAATGGTTAATGCTGTTTTCAGTAACTAATGTGACTTGAAGACACTGCCCACTGGTCTCGCTAGAGTGGGAAAAATGCTTAGGTATCCTGCTACTCTTGGAGAAGGATGCGTGTGGCCACAAGGTGGCGCTCCAGTCTTGGCAGTCTTACTTTTACCCCAGTCTTGTCAGAAGGAGGCTGTTTGCATAACTCTTCAGAGAATGGAGAACCCAGAACAAACTCCCATCAGGAACTCTGGTCTGGCTGAAGCTGTGCGTAACCCCAAAAGGAACATGGTTCTCTCAACAGAACAAATCTCTTTCCTTCATCTGCAGAGAATAATCCCTTTTTTTACTGAGGGTTATTTGTTATCAAAGTTACAGGGTGAGGGAGTGACTCAGGAAACAGGCCTTTTAGAAGCCACCTTCCATGCTTATCATATAGCCTATTTCTTTTTTTTTCTTTTTCTTTTTTAAAATTTTTATTGGGAAACAGTGTGTTTTTCCAAGACCCATCAGCTCCAAGTCAAGTAGTTGTTTCAATCTAGTTGTGGAGGGCGCAGCTCACTGGCCCATGTGGGGATCGAACCAGCAACTCTGGTGTCACGAGCCCATGTTCTAACCACCTGAGCCAACTGGTCACTCCTAGTTTTCTCTTTCTAAACTTATTAAAGTTTTAAATTTTTTTCTGATTTCAAAAATAAAAAGTGCTTACTTCAAAGAATAGACATAATTATTAAAAAAATCACATAGTTTAATCTATCAGAGATAGCAACTGTTAAGATTTGGCACATTTTCTTCTAGTCTTTTTTCAGTATATACTATATATGTATATATAATTAAATTAAAATAACACTATATGTACTATTTTGTATCTGGCTTTTTCATTTAACATTATATTCTGAGCATTTTCCTATTTTGTTAAACTTCTTCAAAAACATTAATTTTATTAACTACATAATATTCTTAGAGTGGATGTACCACAATTTATTTTACCATTCCTCTGTTTTTGAACAAGTAGTTTGTTCTTGATTTTTCATTATTATAAATGGCATATGACACAGTCATTGTTTTATATGAGTTGTTTGCGTCTGTCACATTTTTCTAAGGCCAAGTGGAATAACAGGTTAGAGTTTAACTCTGGGATCTAAAGACAGATTGCACTGGATCTGATAGTTAGAAATGGTTTTTGCTAATTCAGGTGGGGAAACTATTGATCTAGTTAATGTCAGACGGGACTCAAAGGGTAGGTTTTGTGGAAGGTGACAGAAGGCGGCTCAGTAGGTGTGTGATGGGCAGCATTTGTTTGGGCCTGGCCCTGGCAGAGGCTGGGATGGTTGCAGTCAAGATGCTCATTTCTAATCAAGGAGGGGAGTGATGATGGAAGGGACATCAGCCGGGATGGAAAGGATAGAGCCTGGTGCCTGTGTGAGGGAGCCTTTATGCTGCATAGAGGACCAGATGGGTGGGCTATCTGAGAGGGCTTCTGAGGGAATCTCATGAGGAAATGTATATGAAAGCTGCTCAGGTGAAGCGGGCAGAGATCCATAGTACCTCATCAAAAATGTTTGGGGACAGAAACAATTCAGTTTTTAGACTCTTTCAGCTTTTGGATAGGTTATAGTCTATATGTATTTATGTAACATCACCATCGAGCTGGGGCAGGAACCTGTAATCAAACACATCAACATCTCTGCAGAAAAAATATGAGTTTTCTACGAAATGGGATAATTAAAGACCATAAATAGCTTCTCCTAAGTTCAGATCAGAATTAGTTCAGAAAAGTCAGTTTGCTGCCAAATTGCTTATGAAAAAACTTTAGTTTCTTGGGCTTTGGAGTTAGGCTAAAGAATTATGGACCTGTATCATCATTAAGGTGAATAATTGCTTCTGGAACTATTTTCAAAGAGAACTAAAACATTTCTTTTTTTTTTTTTTTAAACTTGTTCTTAAAAGATTACCCCGGAAGCTTACGAGAAGCTGGGATTTCCTGGAGCAGAGGAATTGGCCAACATGTTTCGTTTCTATCACATGAAGCCAGACCGTGATATCAAGCTCACCTACCGACTAAACCCCAAAGTCAAAACCTTCAGCCAGTTTATCTCAGAGAACCAGGGAGCCTTGAAGGGCATTTAAGCTGTTCACATAGGTCCCTGACCACACAACTTCCTTCCTCCCTGATCCCAATTGTCTTTACAGTACAACACCTACATTTACAGGTGTGTTAGAATGCAATTGTTTGCAACACCAAAGGCTTCATTGACGCTGTCTCCTAAGTAAGAAACATGGAAGTGGTGATTTAACACAGAAATTTGACTCACATATAAGTTTGCAGTTAGTAATAAGGGTGGTACACCTGTTTGGTTAACTAAGAAGCCCTAAACCTATCGATTTTTGTAGTCCTTTCTCCCCAACAGCCAGGTCACTTTCCAAGGCTCTGGCCCGAGGAAGCTGCAGCTTCTTGCTCAACACCAATGGGGGTGGCACTCAGCTTTCTCCTGCCTCAGTGATCCTGAGCCCTGGCTCTGAAATTCCCCTAAGCAGCTCCATTTTTTTTTTCAAATGCATTGTCACATTTTCAGTGGAACTTATAAGCAAATTTAATTCCTTAAAAATCTTTGTAGAGGACTTTCTGGGGAACATGGTGTTAAATGAATAAGCGCAAGTGTTAGAAACTCTAAAATTAAATTTTCCTTCAAGGTTGGAAGTTCATTCTCTGATTCATTCATTAAATCACCTATTGAATGAGCACTCAATTTATGCATCTATTCGTTCTTCTCTCCTTCATTTAGCCATTCCATAGACGTTATTTTTAGCACCAGCACTGACGGTGCATTTGGGGACTTCTCTCCCCTTCATTGTGTTTTCTTATTGGAGTGGTCCACTCTCCAAAGGCTGCCATGGCTCCTTTTCAGTTTATGGTGGCTTTGTGTCATGCCAGGGCAAAACAGGTCATCTTCTAACACTAACTAGCTACAAGTCACTTAGCTACAAGTGACACCCAGGGACTGTGCAGTGGATGAAGCCAGGAGCTTGAGAGGCAAGGGCCAGCAAAAGGTAGGGAAGTAGAAAGAGAAGGTGATGGAAGAACCCCCATAATTATCTTCGTATATCTCTGACTTAGCATTTTCTACATCGTATTGTAATTGTCTTATTTCCTAGTTTTCCTCTTGACTGTGAGTGACTTGCACTCCTCTTTATCCTGGTGCTTGGCACATGACAGGTGATCAATAAATGTTGGTTGTTAATTGATCATATCACTACAAGAAAAGGGCAATAAACATGTATAGGTTGGAGGGTGATAAGAACAAGCAAGTGATACTTAAAAGGCAAGAGGTTGTCCATTTCTGAGAGAGGAGGTGAACCCCACTCCCCTGAGGCAAGCAGTGTGGTGCTGGGAGCAGCGGGGCAAGCACGGGGTGGTGGTGCCTGTATGAGAGGATGTAGTGGCCCAGGATCTGACTCAGGAGAAGGATCTGTAGCCCTAGCAAATATCAGCCTCTTTTGGTCTTTTAAGGTGTCAAGTGGTAAGTTTGTGTTGAATGAAAGATGAAGTTATTATAAACAAGTTTTGATTCTTTGGGGGAAATCACAGTCCAACTGTGTTTGAAGACCATTCTTCTTTTCAAAATGTTCTCTCTTTATCCCCAGAGCACTAAATTTAATGCAGCTCAAGCTCTCAACTCTGGAAAACGGATCTGGATAAATTTCTGAAAAGGGAAAAGAAAAATAAAACCCTAAACTAAAAATAGGAGGTTTATTACTCATCTGGGTGGGCCAGGAAGGAGGAGTGACTGCTGTTTCCTAAATAACCCTCCATGTCCCCTAAATGGGGACTGTCTGCTGGCCACTGGGTCACCTGACTTCTTTATGTGTTCACTGGGTTGACTGGTTGGGTCTTTCAGTCTTTGGAAAGGCTGGGGTAGCCCTGGGCCAGCCCTGCCATTGTTCCTGCAAAGCACAGGAAGCCCTTTCTGGGTTCAGAAGCAAACTCTACAGTGGCCAATCTGAAATGGGACTGTGCCTTTTAGGGGCCTACTTTGCATCCCCATCTCACACTACCAATAAGAGGAAACTGGGAAAGTTAGTCTAAAACATTTTGTATTTGTTGACAGTAGAACAAGGGATTCCACCACCACCCTCTCTTCCTCCCCTGCTCTCCCAATCTCCAGGACTAGGGGGAGAAAAACTTCCCTTTGGAGTTGCTCAGAGTAGAGCATTGGGGACCCAAGAGAGGCACAGAAGGTGAAAAGGGGCTGTGCACCACAATATACAATACCACCCTCTGTTCAGGCAATGGCTTGGTTGGGGTTGGGGCAGATGGAACAGGATGGAGGGAAGGTGGGGATATCTGTGATTCTAGAAATGTTCCTAGAAACCCGAGCTATGAAGTCCGACGATGCTGGATTTGATTCCTGCCCTGCCACTGACTGGCTGTGTGACCTTGACTCCTTTGGCCTTCAGTTTCCCCATTCCTCACAAGGACTAAAAGATTGGAAGTGTGAAAAGCACTTTGGTCAGTCTTTGGTAGACAGTAAGTGCTCAATAAACAGTAGCTGTAATTATTATTGAGAATAATTCCTGCCCTTCATACAGCACCCTGAGCTGCCCACCGGGTCTCCCCTTGACCTGCCCACCTATTCGTGGCCTTCCAGCCTTCCGGTTCATCAAGCCCTAACCGCCCCCTGGTGGGGGTCGTGGCCGTGCCCGTCTTTCTTTGCCTGCCACTAGATGGCAGGGCAAGCTTAGCATGAGACAGGGTCACTCCAACCTCTTTCCAGGTGGATTTCTCCAGGGGCTTTCTTTGGGAACAAGGCTCCAGGAAAGTTATATGGTGAATATTACAGCCCTTCAGTTTCTCTCCTTCAGTCTCTCTCAGTCACCCTCCATGGTTACTTCCACAAATATGTGCTGAGCACCTTCTCTGAACCTGGCACTGTGGGATTAAGTGCCTTCTCTGTGCCTAATTTGGGATTAAGGACAGGAAAGGAAGAGCCAGGGTATTTCAAAAGCTCCAGCACTGGCCCGACCCACTGCAGAGGGAAACCCTCAGGCTAAGAGCGAGCGTTCCGTGGGAAGAGGGCCCCGCCCCTTGCCCAGGAGCACAGAGCACTGCTCTCTAGCTTCCTAGTGCGTGTAGTGCGGGGGCAGAACCTGAATGTGGGTGCCCTGCAGCTGGCTTCTCCGCCGTCACCCTCTCTCCCGCCCAAGGGAAACTTCCAGCTCTGAAGTCCGTTCAAGACTGCACAAGGGGCAGAGGCAATTCCCCAAAAGGAATTCGGGTCACTGTTAAGAAAAAGAAGTGCATGGTAGGAAGGCCCCAAACAATGTCCACTCTCCAAAGTAACCGTTCTCTGGCAGTGGAGACAACTAACTGGTGGGCTCCTCGCAGAAGTAAACAGGAAGGCAGTAGCACAAATTTTAAAACACCCCAGAAGATGAGTTTTCATAGTATTTTTTTTTTTTAAGATTTTTAAATTGGGGAATTGGGGAAGGGGAACAGCCAAAGTGCTGTCCTGTTGTTCTTCAGTCTAGTTGCGGAGGACGTCGCTTCACTGGCCCATGTTGGTATTATCATTGCGCTTTTCCCAGGTGAGGCAGTTGCTCATGGGCCATTGGAGTGCCGCTCCCAAAAGCGCAAGCCAGCTGGCCAGCCCCACCGCAACCCACGTCGCCAGGGAATCACGGCAGCCCAGCTCCAGGTCGAGCTGTTGTTTATCATCTTAGCTGTAGAGGGCACAGTGTCACTGGCCCTCATGTGGGATCCGAACCAGGGCCCTGCTGCTCAGAGCTGGCATCCCAAGCCAACTGCTAACCAACGTGCCACTCGGCCAGCCCTATAGCATTTTTGAAGAGCTACTTAGCTGTCTATTGCAAGAGGATTAAAAATATGTGTACTCTTTGGCTTGGTACACGTCTAAGAAACTATTTTAAGTAAAAATAAACATAAATATAGATAAATATAAAATTTCCAGGAGTTTATATTGTTCATGAGACTAAAAAAAATGGAAATAAGCTAAATGTTCAGCATTAAAGGAATGGATAATTAAATTATTAGTTTTTAAAACATTACCTTAAATTTAAATTCTTTAAAATTAGCTCAATTCCAATTGTGTAAAGTATATATGCACATAGTAAAATACTGAGAGGAAAAATACTAAGATGTTAATAGTGGTTTCCATTGAATAGTGAGATTCTGGTTGATTTTTATTTCCTCCTTTTAAGTTTGCCCTTGCCTTCAGTTTTCCATAATAAACATATGTTAATTAGATGTTGAATTTTATGTAAAAAGGTTACTTTTATAATTTAACAAATATCACAGAGTGTCCTAATTCTTTTTTTATGTATGGCAACTGTAATAATTGTTATTTATGAGTATACCAGCCACTATGCTAGGAACTATATATACATACTTTCCCTAAATCTTTGTACCAACACTGTAAACAAGATTATCTCCTCATTTTACAGATGAAGAAACATACATATTCCAGAGAGTTTAGGTAATTTGCCCAAAGTCATACAATTAGTAGGTGACAAGGACAGAATTTAAATTCAAGTCTGTATGTGTCCAAAGTCCTTGTCAAAGCACTCACCAGAACTTTGATCAGTGCAATTCTCAAGTTATGAAAGGATTGGGTCATCAAATTCATTCAGAGTTCAGTTGTTTGGAATTTGAGACATATTTTCTCTTAGAAACACTGTAGAGTGCTAACCTGCAACGCTGTATAAAAGATCAACCCTCCAGAAACAGGCGAAACCACATGTACTCAACTTGTGAAACCACAACTTTCAATAAGATGTTTCCTGCTAACCCTCTCTGCCAGATGCACACACAGAAAATAATGAAACTGATGTTGAGGCAAGGACAAGGCAGTACCTGGGGAAGTCAGAAGGAGGGAAAGCCCTGTGTGGGTACAGAAAGAGAAAGCAGAGCCAAGATGGGCCTCAGGGCCCATGGGGTCTGAATGGCTGGCTGGGAATGCACCCAGGGTAGGAATGATGGGCTGAGAGTGGAAGCCCTGCATGGAAACCTGGGGAGCTCCCAGGAGGTCTTGGAAGTATCAAATCCAAGTGTTTCCAAGAGTCAGGCAGGTAAATGAATGAAGGCCAGATATAATACAATAGGGAATGTTGGGGACTCTGGCAACAAGAGATGGCATGACCCACCTACAGGCATTAAGCATAAAATTTAACAGAAGACAGTGACACCAAACATAACTTGAGGGTGGATGGTTTTCTTACCCTACTATTTAACAGCTGAACCTTCCAATTTTGTGAAAGGGTAGAGACCTGGTGAGGCTGTAAGGACTGTGGATGGAGGGCTTGGTCATGAGGGGGAAAGACAAAGGACAAGGCTCCAGGGCCCCCTGCTTTGGCAGTGGGGAGGATGCTGGGCGAGAGCGGTGGGGTCAAGGAATGGCTGGCAGCAGCTGCTCCGATTTGTATGTTATTACAAATGAAGCATTCATTCCCTCATTGCTTATAGCAGAAGTTTGGCCATCGGGCCAGAGAAAGGCTTAGAAAGGGCCCAACATTTGCTGGAAGTTGTATTTTTTCATCATTTCTTTTAAGCCTTATTATCTCCCTGAAAATTTGGTGTATGTGGCAGACTAGCTGGATGTTTACCTCACCTGTTTCCTGGGCACACAGCTGGCCCTCATTTCTAAGTGTTCTTCGCAATTAATTGCAGCCGTGTACCTCTGATATAGACACTGGCGTGTGATTAGAAGCGATGCGTGCTGTTTCTCGCCTAGCA